AAGAATTCATAAAGGTTTCACTCCGAAGTCGAAACACCCACATTCAAGCAAGTGGGAATGCATTCCTAACGTAGTTCAACCAATCGTCAACCATGCCTCTCTAGGGGGCAGCCTCGGTTAATCTCTCTGTGTACGAATCACGAACTCGGGGCATGCCCGGGCCTTCGAGCTTTGCTAAAGGGGCACGTGTAAATTGGAAGTACTGTTTTAAATGCCATAACATTCTTTCATTTCTCTTCTCCCTTTAAATATCCACTCTAACAACCCTTCTGAAATAATGCAAACATCCCTCCTGTCTTTTCTCTTGACCCTTATGGCATTAAAATGGTACAAAAAATATACACGAAGAATGCACAGTGAATACTCACAGAGGAAAGATCGAGATGTCCCCGAACAGAGTTGAGAGACACTTGACTACATATCGACTAGATAATCAAGGAGCCACTGAAACCTTGAGTTCAAAAGAACATATCCCGACGATAATCACAAAAGACATGGATAAAAAGGAATCGTCAACATCAACCTTAACACGTACAGGTTAATTTCCTGACAAAAAAATTGAATTGCATATTTAGGAACAAACACATGAGCATAAACTACATCGCATGCATGAGGTATGGGCATATGAAAGGGCGTTACACAAAAATGGAATAAATAAAAGAATCATTCATGTCTTGCATTTTCATTGCATCCATGCATCCATGCATCCATGCATTATACTTGCCATGGTCAAAGGAAGTCGTCAAGCATCCCTAGTCATTGATGTGAGGCACCACAATCACAATCATAATCACATCCGTACAACATCTCATCTCATAACTCAAATTCATATCACGTACACAATTTCACATCACATACTCAATTCCAAATCACATACTCAACATATAAGTCTAACAAAATAAGGATTTACACATCCCTCAAGCAATTCACATCTAGATCATCAATTCTTATTAAATAATATAACCGCCTGCTTGTGGTAGGGTTTTTTCTGAATTTCATTTTTATTTAGCTTCGGCTCTTTCATGTTTGAAGCTTGCCTTTTTTGCTATCATTTTTTGAATGCTTCGGTTTTTTTGACATTTTCGAAGCTTGCCTTTTTCTCATGTTGCTTTTTTTCTTCTATTGTCATCATTGATGGAGGAATCTATTCCTATGATGTTATTTGCTGAGTGTTTATTGGTGAGTACTATTTTGGAAGCCACTCCTGGCTTTGGTGAGGAGAGCATGCCTGATCTTGGCATTCTCTTGGATTATCCTGCATTTGGTGAAGAGTAGGGCACGATGGCCTCTTCATGCTTATAGGTTTGCTTGTTTGATTGTTGAGCTTTTACAAATGCTTTGTCTTGACGACTTCCTTTGACCATGGCAAGTATAATGCATGGATGCATGGATGCATGGATGCAATGAAAATGCAAGACATGAATGATTCTTTTATTTATTCCATTTTTGTGTAACGCCCTTTCATATGCCCATACCTCATGCATGCGATGTAGTTTATGCTCATGTGTTTGTTCCTAAATATGCAATTCAATTTTTTTGTCAGGAAATTAACCTGTACGTGTTAAGGTTGATGTGGACGAAGTTGTTTGGCTGGTTTTGGTGGCTGGATTCTTCTACACATCTTCTTGGTTTGCCTATTCTAGTAGGAATCGCTCGGTTTGGCAGGCATATGTGGAGGGGGGGATCGCCTACCTCGATTCTCCGAGTGAAGTTTATATATTTGTTATGTAATTTCACTTAACGTCAATTGATTTTAAGATGAAATCTAACAATGATCAAAAGGAAAATTTCTGACACCAATTAGACAAATGGTAATTATAATAGATAACTTGTGCTTACACAGTTCCTGCAACTCGAGTACTAACGTGGGTGACATTGTCAGGAAAAAGTTTTGCAAGGCCAAAATCCCCGATTTTCGGATAGAAATTCCCATCCAGCAATATGTTGCTGGCCTTGATATCTCTGTGAACAATGTTTGGCTGAGCTTCTTCATGAAGAAAACTTAGACCAGAAGCTGTGCCACGACAAATAGCAGCCCTCTTTGGCCAATCCAGAGCAACATATTTACCTTTTGAACCTGTAAAAATATTCTATCTGCATTAGCATAAACTAATTCAGAAATAAATTACCAAACAGAGAAGTCACACTAAAAATTTCAAAACACTTCCCTTTAGTGTACAGCATGCTCCAATATTTACCAAGGAAACTGGCAAAGTTTTATCCAAATAGGGGAGTTGTAAAGCACCAGAATTCCCAACAGATTGTACGAAGATAAATTGATTTCAAAAATGGAAACATTGAACAGCCATCTTAACCAAGATAAGACTCACATCCAAATACATACTTAAATTGCTTTGGTATTTACCGAGCAAAGAACTCGCAAGGCTATTGTTCTCCAAGAATTCATAAACCAATATTCGATGACTACCCTCAACACAACAGCCAATCAGTTCCACAAGATTCGGATGCCGTATATTTGATATCATATCAATTTCTGTCATAAATTCATGAGTTCCTTGTTTAGACTCTACAGAAAGAGACTTGATAGCAACTTGAGTACCATCCCTCAAAACTCCCTGCAAGGATTAATAACAACCAGCAAAGAAATGAAATGCACTGAAATGTCTAAGGGTGGTAAGCATTAGAACAACCTAAAGAACCAAGAAAAAAAAAATCTAATGGCTGATGGTCATGACTCATGACTCACCTTGTAGACAACTCCATAACCTCCTCCACCGATTTTGCTTGAAGGATGAAAATCTCCCGTTGCTGATCTCAATGAGTTATAGCTAAACTTTCTAGTTCCAATAACTGAAGGGTCACAAACATGTAAACTTGCATAAATGAATCACAGGATGCAAAATTTTTAAACAGACAATTCAAAAAAAGAGTCAAGAAAAATGCAATTTTAGGAAGATAATGTCCAAGTCAAGATGTATCACTAGATCCAGACAAGTTTCACCTGAAATAGAGATACATGCATGCATATTTTGCTTATATAATAATAATCTGCAAGAATTTCAACCGTATGGGAGGAATTCAATAAAATAGAAGCATTTATCATTACCAAAAAATAGTGCAACCACACGATCGCAAAGCATCCCTGTTGGTCATCTTCAATAGTGAAATTTCAATATTAGTATTAGCCATTTTAAAAAGGATATCAGTATTTAAATACATCCTATTAAGTTGAGAATTGGGAGTACTAAGGTGGTTCAAGAGAGATCAAATATAAATGATAATTCTGATGGTTGACCTCAGGTTTGACCTGCAATTAATTACTTTCAGCAACAGATAAATCCTGGCATTATAAACTTAAGATTTATTTAATAAGTGTCACCATGTTTGACATTTTGGCGGCATGAGAGTGAGAATTAAAAAGAAAAGAACTGTACCTATAATTAACTACCAAATGACTCCTTGACATATCTTAAAACTTAATTTTAATTGATCATATCACAACTAGCAAGCGCAACAATAAAATAATTTAAACCCTCAGTTAATCAGGACTAAGCCCTTTCTTTCCAGGGGAATTCAATCAAATTATCCAAGTTAGTACATCAAAATCAATTTTGATAGCCTGAAGTTAATTACCCGCAACATCTTATCCTCCATCCTAGCTACATTTCACTGAAGAACCCGTAACAATTTTATACAATTTTGTCTCTAGATTCCCAGATGTGGGATTAGATAGACAGAAAACACACACGCACAAATAAATAAATAAATAAATAAATAAATAAAAACACAAAAATGCAGTCTCTTCATCTAGCAATCATCCCCTCATAGCTACCAATAATTAGGCAATTTCAACCTTTATAACAACAGTTATCTAGCCTTTCAACAGGAAAAATACAGAAAGGTACAAGAGAGAGAAAAGGATGACTAACAGGCCTAAATCATGGATAACAAAGTCAATAGCCTCTTCAATTTGATACAAACAATTGATCCATGTGCAATTCAGAGTCATACTCATTTTCTAACTTTCTGTACCTTGTTCATCTTGCTGATCTGCAGGATCATCATCCCTTCCTCCACACCAATTCAAAGTACCAAACCAGTTGCAAAACATGGCTATGGCCCCAGCTCCAGTCTCCTAAGCCACCATTAAACCTTCTAACAACATTTGTCCCTCAAATTTATCACACACCAACCACCAACGAGGATGAGAACAAAACATTCAAGTGAACTACCTCGGAAAACAATGAAGCAAGTTGGAAACTTGAATATACTGCAGGGGTAAACGAATTCACAGCATGGTTCGAAAACTTTTAATCACCGTTATACCCAAATTCTACCCTGAATTTTCAAACTGATGGATGGGGGAGTAAAAACGTTGAAAATCTAGGATTTTTACTCTCACACAGAGAAGGGTCACCAAAGCCTCGATAGTTTACGAGAGCTAGCAGCGTTGCAGGGTTGAAAATAGAAGGAACGTATGAATCCATAAATGGTTAGGAAATAGAAAATGAAATAAAGGGTCAAGGAAGCTATCTGCGAAAATGAATGACAACAAAGATCGAACGAAGTGGGGGTTAAACTCTGAAAGTGACATGTTGCTGTCTTTTGTTTTGTTTTTTGCTTTTATTTTGTTTGTTTTCTTCATATCTTTGCTTAACAAAATGAATAATCATGATTATAATATCAGACAGGTGAGTCCTGTTGCGAATTGACGAAGTCTAAGGAGACAGGAAAACTATTGAGTCAGAATTCAGGAAAAAAAAACATGAAAGGCAAGAAAATTGGAGATTGCAGACAAAACATAAAGCAAATATTTCCTACTTACTTTAATATACTTTTTGATTTTTCGTTGCAGTCATCATAAAATAGAAAATACGAAGGTATTTGTTTATTTATTTATTTATTATTATTATTTTGTAACGGTGTTTCAAGGCTCCGTCTTAGATTAATTTTGAGCACAATAAATTAAATGAATTTTGAATTTTATTTCACCAGAAAATCAAACTTATCTTTAACATACTTGTGTATAATGATTAATGATTTATTTGGTGTGAGATATCACATTATTCAAGAAACTCTAGATGTTATTAAAATAAATGATCATTAATAAGAACGTTTTAGTGTATTGTAGATTTTTATTTAAAATTTTAATTATTTCAAAATATCATGTGAATCGTTCGAAACATATAAAGTGTATGGTTAGCCTAATAACAAAAGTTTCGTAAGAAAATTGAAGCAAACTATCATGAGATAAAAAATTTTCTTTCTAAAGAAATTTGATTCGAAACTATGATATGACCAAGGCCCAATATGAAAAGAATTTCAGAATTTTTCTTTGACTTTGTTTGTGTCAACAAACAATTTGAAATGTCTCGACTATTTTAGAATAGGTCCGACTAAGGTTGTTCAAATAGGTATAGATCAACTAAATGGTATTCCTGTAGCAATTGGAATCATGGATTTCCAGTTTATGGGGGGTAAATATAGGATCCATAGTAGGTGAGAAAACCACCCGTTTGATAGGATATGCTACCAATAAACTTTTACCTCTTATTCTAGTATGTGCGTTTGGAGAGGTGCGTATATAAGAAGAAAGTTTGCACTTGATGCAAATGGTTGAAATCTATTATACTTTATATAATTATCAAACAAATAAAAAGTTATTTTATGTATCGATGCTTACATCTCCTATTCTTGGTGAGGTGACAACTAGTTTTGACATGTTGGGAGATATCATTATTACGGAACCAAATGCTTATATTGCATTTATGGGTAAAAAAGTAATTAAACAAATATTGAATAGTACTCAATGATTCACAAGCAACTGAATATTTATTCCATAAGGACTTATTAGATTCAATTGTATCATGTTATCTTTTAAAAGGAGTTCTAAGTGAGTTATTTCAGTTCCATAATTTCTTTTCATTGATCCATACTAGATTTGACCAATTGTTCATTCTACCTCCTCTACATTTTTAACAACTCATCTTTGTCTTAGTAAAGTCTTCCACTAGCATGTTTTGTTCCTCTTTCCCATTACTTAGAAAAAGTGAGTCATCGATTCAAGTACAAGATACTATCATTATTGCTTGGACAATTAGACATCCAACCCATAATCGCAACGACCCAATTACAAGAGCAGAGCTCTACCAACTGGGTTATATATTCGTCCAGCCAAGTAGAGCATGCATGAAAGAGTCAAGTCAGTTTTGTATTCTTTTCCTTGGCAAAGTTGGGCCATCATGGACTTGAATCAGGGATCTCTTCTGCAAGGTAAATCATCACATGCATGTTTCATTTGCATTGCTATTTTTTTTCGAGCACATTTGACATGTTGCTAGAGCTTTGTTTAGAGATGTTTTTGTTGATATTGACCCACATTTAGATGCTTAAGTAGAATTTGGAACATTCCAAAACTTTGGAGATTCAACTACAAGAAAGTCCAATAGATCATTCTTTTGTTTCTTTTCTACTTTTTTTTATGATTTTGAATTTCAAATAAATAACTATAAAAATCTTAATTTAAATCATTGTATTTTTTTGGGAAATGGGCCCAACAATAAACATAAAATTAGTTCCATTTTTTAAAAGAATTCTTGCAGAAATCTTCTAAAACATAATTATAACAAATTAATTGAACATGCACAAAGTTAATATTTTTTAATTCTGGTGTTTAAAATATTTTAATATTAATATTTTAGTATGTCTAATATACATTATAAATTTGTTATCCTCAAAAAATTAAAATAAATAAATATTTTTATATATAAAAGTTATAAAATTAAATAACTTTTTTAGTCTCAGTAAAGTATGATGTTTTTGTTTTTAGTTTTTTTATTAAATTATTTTTTTAATTTGTTCACGTAAATTCTTTTTGTTTCATTTTCATTTTGATTATCAAATTATTCTTATCGTCAAATTAACAGTTAGATTTTAAAAAAAAACCAACAAAATTATAAAGATCAAAATAAAAAAGAATTAAAACAAAAAATAATTAAAATATAAGAAGACCAAAATATAAAAATTTAAAATAAAAAAGATTGAAAAAAACAACTAATTAAAATAATTATATTTAAAAGAGACTAAACTACATTTTAAAGGCTTCGACGTATAAAACATAGCAAGTGTAAACGACTGAGGACATCACATGAACAGGTCCCCAAAATAAAATAAAATTGTTCAAGCAGTTGAATTAAGTAGTAGTAGATGCGATAGAAGGTAGTCTATGAGATTTAAGCCCACAACAAAATGCACAAAAATGATAATATTAATTTTTTTTTAAATTAGAAGACTAAATTAAACATATTAAAAATAATACGATCAAATTGAATATTTTAAAAATAGTAAGATGAAATTGAATAAAATTTTATCTAATATTTTTTTTCTAGATAAATTTGAATTTTATTTTACTTATTTTAACAAAATTATGAATGACAACAAATTGAGTACTTGAAATTTAAAATATGATCACAAAATGAAAGAGTATCTAATAAAATAAATTATTAAATAGGTAAAAAAAAAGGCTAAATGCCTAATTTGTTTCCGTATAATATTAAAAAGTTTTAATGGTCCAACTTAAATTTTTGGTTTCAATTTAGTCCCAATTTATTTTAAAAGATTTTAACATGGGACTTCTGTCTAAATTTCAAAAATAGCGTTAAATGTTGACCACATGGATACCAACTAGATGCATACGTGGTTAGGTTTTTTTCTTCTTCTTCTTCTTTATTACTCCGATACCCATGAGATGTACGAGTTCACTTTGGGGCCATTGCAAGGGTTTGGGTTTTAGTGGGTTAGGGTTTCACAGAAGAGGATGTGAGAATATGTTATGAGGGGGAGAATGAATTTTAAAAGTCACGGGGTGTATATTTATAGGAGCAACCTACGATTTTAGGATTGTTGGGACGAATCACGATTGTGATTAAGAATCATGGACATGATTCTCGCACTCTATTTTACAAATTTTTTGAGTTGATTCACGCCGTGGAAATCACAGGCATGATTACGAATCACGGGTGTGATTCTGGCACTCCTACGTAGTAGATTATTGACGTGATTCACGCTATGGGAATCACGAGCGTGATTGAGAATCACGGGCGTGATTCTCACACTCGTACATAGCACATTTCTAAAGTGACTTTCGCTGTGGGAATCACAGGTGTGATTCTCGTGTTGGTAAATAGCAAATTATTGACGTGATTCAAACTGTGGGAATCATGAGCGTGATTGAGAATCACGGGCGTGATTGAGAATCACGAGCGTGATTGAGAATCACGAGCGTGATTGAGAATCATGAGCGTGATTCCCAGAAATGTTACTTAGTTGATTTTTTTTATGTGATTCACACTGAGAATCACAGGCGTAATTCTCATGATTCTTACTTAGTAGATTTATTTATGTGATTCACACCGTGAGAATCACGAGCGTGATTGAGAATCATGGGGTGATTCTCACGACTCTTACTTAGCATATTTTTTTTTATCACATTTACTTAATATTGTCACACGTAATGTCATACATAATAGTCTCATAAACTTAAATATTGTCATATAATTAATACTTAATATTGTCATACAAAACATTGTCTCAAAAGTCTACTACATCATAAATCATGAATAAACCCTAAACACAAAATACTATCTATTTCAAAATAAAACCAACACACAACAATCTTCAACTTTGTCATGGTTTCCATTGTGGTCGTGCTTTCCTAGGCTTCAACTTCTCCTTGAAATTTTTCTTTGACTAAGATGACTTTGTTGATTTCTTTTCCTTAGATGTTTGAGATGGTTGGATGGGTTGAGAGGGTTGGGTGGGATGAGAGGGTTGGGTGAGCTGAGAGGGTTGGGTCTGTTGAGATGGTTGGGTGGGCTGAGGTGCTTCATTTGGTATTGGAGTATCACTTGGGTTTTCCTTGCAAGTAGATATGTTATGGCCAAAACTTTTGCACCTGCTGCACTTTCTCCTATATCCATTTCTTTTCAATTGAGTTTCATCCTTTTTTAGTTCCCATGACTCCAAATTTCTTCTTTTCTTAGGGTGTCCTGGCATTTTCTTTGATGGTGGTGGAAGAACATCAGTGCACCATGTCTTTGTCCATATAGTTGTTGTCCATTTACTGGATATATCATTGATTGATATACAACCTCATATGTCGCCCTCTTGTAATAGTCTGGCACAAACTCCTTTGGATCCAAATTCATGTACCTCATACATGATATAGCATGGCAACAAGATCCCTAAACACAACACTTACCTAATGTGAATAGATCCAAATGTGACTTCTTCTTCTTTACGAATGCGCTCTTAGGAGTCACTCACCATGAACGATTCTTCTTCTTCATGAATATCCCCTTCGGAGTTCACGAACATTGGTGACTGTAGGTGAACAATTCTTCTCTCATGTTTGGGAAAGGAAGCCACGTTAGAATTTCAATGAATAATGAAACATTTCTTTTGCATTCCACGTTAGACACTTTTAAACACTATTTGTGGAATTTGGACGGAAGTCCCACATTGAAGTCTTTTAAAATAAATTGGGACTAAATTGAAACACAAAATTAAAGTGGGACCAAATTGAAACTTTTTAATATTATAAGGGACCAAATTAGGC